CTAAAAGGATGTATTGCTAGAAAACAATCCTGGGTACACCTCTTGTTTTTATGTCCCACTTGTGGATTTTCCATTGGCATGTCTAGTGCTTTTTCTGAGTTTCTAATTTAATTCAAGAAACGCATTATAATCTATGCTTTGATGAACTTTTGTTTTGATTGTCTTTTTCTGAGATGAAACAAGGGAAGAAAGGAAGGAAGAACAGAATGGAGACTAGTACCTGGGAACCTAACATTGCAACCACAGAAACCACACATGGTTCCCCCCTCTGCTGGCTCCATGCCTCACTTAATTTTATTAAGATTAGTTTAATATAAAAAAAAACAAAACAAGGAAAGCTAGAATGCTACAGATCAAAATGCTAGTCTCAGGCAGAAGAATGCTTCTGATCCTAAAATTCTGGACACTTAAAAAAAAATTAAATGAGACCAATACTCTGTTTAGAAGTGTGCCCAGCTGCCTAGAAAAAAGACAGAGGTAAACTGAGGTGATAGAGGTAGAACATGTTTTTATCTCCATTGAAGAAGCAGAAGACGTGTTGAAAAGATCAAGAAAGTCAGCTGAAAAAAATGTCCCTGATTAGTTTATGCTAATATGCTATACGCAAGGGTGCCTGCTTTTTTCCTGTGCCTCCTGTCCTTTACACTGTTTGGCATATTTAAAGTAAAAAGAGGCAGAATATAATAAACAGATACCATTGAGAAAACTGCCACTCCAAATTGCGGCAGTGTTATGAATCAACTTTGCAAATATGTATCAACCATTTCATATCAGTTTGTGAATAGATGATGTAACTTCATGTAACTGATTCACAAATAAGAAAGATATCGGTGCTCTTCTTGCCAAGATTTCAAGAGCTTTTCAAAAAGCAAAAAAAAAAAAAAAAAGAAATATAGGATCTGGTACATTTCATTTACTGGGACCTCAAATTGGCATAATGAATCAGTATTAGAGGCTGAAGGAAAATACGGGAGTCTTCACTCAAAATCACCGGTTGGAATGAATGCTGAAACTGAAGTGAGAAGATTGTGCACGCCCTTCATCTCTTTTAGAAGTCTGCTACTGAGATCTCTTCATTCATTATCCCTTTATATTAAAATGTATGCTTTGAAAGATGGAATGCATGAAAGTGGAGGTATTTTTAAAGTTATTAAATAAAAAATAATGCAAGCAAAATAAAAGCAGCTGCTGTTTCTGGACACATTTGCAAATTTCCTTTCATATTTCTTTAGTCCCTATGCTTCCCTATTGAAACTTGATAAGAAAGATGTTCAAACTTGCCTTAATATGAAGAGGTTTTTTAAAATACATTATTTAGGGCTGCAACTAAAGATTGTAGATTGTTCAAGCAAAATCTGGCATTATTTCCCTCTGAACTCTTTCCAAAAGGTCTTAAAATGATATTGTTAGTAATGAAAATATGATTTAAAGAATTCCTTCTGCTATTTTTTTCATCAGTGCATCTAACTAGGCAATATATAAAAGTGGCTGCAAAATCTGTAGTTTTACTTAATTCACCAAGCCAAAGTTTTGGAACTGATTGCCTTTGAATGTCAGGGATGGAGCAAAACAAAGTCAGTTGCTGAGAGTAATTAAGAAGTGGATGCATTTAAACTGTAGAGAGCAGTAGCAGTCTTCTTGAAACTGTCTAGTAACTGAAGATTACAAGAAAGAGACTTGTTTAAGAGACAATATTTTAAATGAATTAACTTTTCCCTGTTCTGTGATCTACTTTTGCTGATATAGTCATACATCACCAATTATATATGATTATTACAAACAACACATTAAAATCAACACACTTTCAAAATGAATGTTGCTTTGGTCTTGTTAGCACTGAAGCACTTTTTTACATATCATAATTTGTTATGCAATTCTGAAATACTTGTATTTTAATAAAGCTGGAATTTACTCAATGGAAGAGTGAACTAAGTTACATCCCTCTTAAGCCTTCAGAATCAACTCACACTAATTATGTGTTGTTTTTACTTTAACAATTCTGTTTCTTCTATTAATTTAAGTGATGGTATATTGGTACTGGAAGATACAAACTAGACTGGATTGACCATTGCATTTAGCCTAATTCATGTCTCTTTGTACATGATTATACTGACAGCGTTATATTAAATATCACCCAAAATGGAAAAGTGTAAACTTGAAGTGTAAGAGATATGGTACATCAGCTGGTAACCTTTGTATTATTGCTGTGCCCAGAAAACTCATGAAAATGGTCGTGTCCCTGTAAAAATATATCTTTTATCCTACAGGATCACAGTCCCAAAGAACTGAATGCTTATTATATGTGCATTTCTCAGGTTCATTAAAAATAATGGAATTGTTTTAGTCACTAATACCCACCAACAAATTAGATTTCTCTGTTTTAATTTATACAGTATATGTGAACACCTGTCTTAGTCAACAGCTGCTTTTAAGATTTACATAGAGAGTTGTTTTGGAAGTTGGCATAATTGAGCAGGGCGGGGCAATATTTTCTGCCTAGGAATATTATGTATGGAATTCTAAATATTCTTTATGTTGTTGCTGTTTTCCTTGCAAAGTACTATAAATTATTCTGAAACTCCATGTTGGTTGATCCTGTGCATTTTTACACAAAAATAAAACAACTTGTTCCAGATAGATGTGTCCAATGTTGGTTCTAAGAACAATAATGGCACTGGGAAAAGCAGAAAATACAAAACTATTCCCGGCTGTAACCATTAGAGATGGATATAAAGGTTCTTTCAAAATTATCTCCCAAATTGATAGACAGGGAAATTGGGCAGACTATTTCTCTAAATTTCTCCAGGAACAATAGGAATGCCTTACTTTCTTAAGGGCAGGATTCCTTTTTAGTGGGAGCAGTAGAAGAAGTCCAATGGCAGGAGTTTCCTCAGAACATCTTCCCTTGGGATTTCGTTTAGAAATCAGGAAATCATGAAAGAAGCAGGAAGACTACAGACTCTTGGAGAGATGGTTTTATAATGATAGACAGAACATTCATATGTATCCCTTGGCTATCTTGAAAGAAAAAAAGTTCAAGAACACCACCGACATATATGGGGATTTTTCCAAAATTTCTTTCTGTGATATAAACCTAAAAAGCAAATATTGTTTCATAAAATTGAAGGAGAACTTGTAGGAAAAGGATGAATTGACTTAAGCCCTATTCTAGCATGCTTAAACAGTTAAGAAAATTTGCATAAGAAACACAAGCCTGTATGTCCTTATACACATCAACTCTGCCTCAAATGTCCTATATCTCCTTATGTTAACAGGAACATCTGCAGGGGACTTATGGGTGTCTGAATACATATTCAGAACATTTAGTCTAATATAATAGCTATCCAGGAACTCTTAATATTTGTGAGTGTGTATATCTGTGTTAACTGCCAAAAATTACCTGGAAAGCCACAAGCCCATAGGAACATGTAAGAGCCTAAGTCATGGGAGGAAGGCATTAAGGAGGAATCAAATGTTATGCCACCAAATAGTTCATTTTTATTTGATGTGGAAGCATGTTAAGACTAATACATGGTTTTTCTATGTAATATTAATACATCTTTTACTTATAATACTACTTGAGGGGGGAAATGCACTAACTGAAAGATCAAATGAGGGAACATATGTATTTACACCATAAGACAGTTTCGTTGAATTTATATTTTGTTAGCTTTTCCTATGTATTTGAATAAACAAGTTGTCATTCAAATAACACTAATGATAGTCAACTCTACTATGTAGAAAATAGAACTGATATAGTTAATATTTATTCTAATTATAATGTTACTAACTAAAGTGAGTGTATGTTTCACAAATATGTATTCTTAATATATATCATAGATTTGTGTTCATAGATAAATGGAATATATTTCTTATAAATGAAGAAGTAGTGCTCCTGCCAGTTTGTCAAGCAGAACAAAATATGAACAAAATATAGAAATTTGTTTGAGGTGTTTATACACCTTGTACAGTCATCCACATGCTGAGGCAACCATGTTCTGATATCAGTCCCAAGATTTCTTAGTCTTTAAGGAATTATGAGGTTTTTTATTCTATTTGCTACAAAAGATTAACCTGGATACTCCTCTAGGGGAAGAAAAAAAAAGACTCACTATCTCACAGTAATGTGTGAACAAACTTGATCAGATTAATTCTGTCAGTTGTATTCAAATCTTTTTTGTTTCTTTTAAAGTTGCTAACCATTCCCCCCAAACCATTTTCCCCCCAATTTTGCTTTATGCAACATTCAGTGGCAGTGCGTTCTTGTCATCTTGATGTCAAAGTCCTCCCCATTCCACAAATTAAAGTTCTTCTGGCAATTGGAAGAGTTGATGAGATACTACTAGTATTTTAAACATCTTTCCCTCGAAAGTGGGGAATATGACTTGTGGTTGGGATTAAGACTACTAACATTGTAAGTGCTTTTAATAATATCTACTTCATTACTCTTCATATGAAACTTCTCCACAATGAAGGAGCTAGGAGAACAAATACAGGCATTCAGTACAATTCAGACAAACATCCATGTTCACTTTAAGCATAATTTCAAAGCATAAATGTCTCTAGGACAAGCCAAAGGTAGAATCTTCAATTTTGCTTAGAAATGTTGTTTTAGATGAAAATCAGTGCCACACCAATTTCAAAGGCAGCTTGTTCTAAAATGTTATTTGAGCAAATAGTATCAAGCAGACCAGCTGCCCAAATCAGTACGGACTGACATAATCTGCCAATCATGCAAGCTGTCCTGGGGCAAAGAGTTTTTCTTTAAAAAAAAAAAAAAAAAAACCCTGAATTTGCCTTACATTGCTTTTTTATTTATGCATACATTAGCTGAATTTTAAGTAAAGAAATGTCACAGTAGCTCTTGCTGTGAAATACTTAATGGTTTGCTTTTGTTGTTGATTTTAAATTATAGTTATAGATGAGTTTCTAAGATGAATTACACTGAAATAAAATAATGTAGCAAACAGTTGGCTTATATGCAATTTTCTCATTGTTAGGTCACAACAGTTTCAGGAAATGAGGTCCTTCTTCAATCAGATATTGACTTCATCGTATCGGACTGGTTCCATGCTATCAAAAATGCAATTGACAGATTGGTATGTGTTTATTTTTAGATGTTGCTTTTATTAATCATGCAGTAATTTAAGGCTCATGTGCTTTTGCAGCAAGTGAAGTTAAAAATTCATCCCTTCGCTCCTTTTGAACTAAGAAAAGTACCTGCGTGTATCTGCTGTTTAGAAGTGTTTCTGGACTAAATTACAGTTTGAATATGTTTTGAAAGAGATAGGTGTGTCATTTTTGAAATTATAAGGATTAAATATGTTGTAAAGCAGACAAACATTTAATAATAAATGCCATTTTACTTTTACTTCTAATGTCATTTGTGCTATATAGTCTTTCAGAGGGCTATTAGTATGTTGGAATCCTTTTTGCATTATTTTATTGTTAATTTGTCAGAATAATTCCAGCAAAGATTCTCTGGCATCTGACTGCTGTTTTTTCTCCCTTCTCCCTTTCTCTTACAGGTCTTCTTTTTTGACAACCGTTTTAATTGCTTCCCCCACCCAATTTCTGATTACATTTTTTCTTAGGTGGTTTTCACCATCCTTAGTATCAATTTCATATTTCGTTCCTCCTAATTATGCTAAAGCTATTTGAGCAGGATGTGTATCATTTTTGGCTTGTGAGAAGAGTCACCCTTCTTGCATGTTTAATTAGATCTTGCCCAGACTGGCTTGGTGGCATTTCAATGTGTGATATAGGCACTTCTTTTAAAATGCTAATAAACAATTGAATAAGATATAAATTGTAAAGCTCTCTAATATGAAGGCGCTATAGCACTGCTGTATGATGATAATTTTTAAAGACTTTAAATGAAGTTTACTGGAAGCCGGCAGAACAATCTGAACATTTCATGACTTCAGTTGCCTGGAATGTGCCATTGACACAAAGCACTAAAGTTGCAATCCTATATACCTTTACCTGGGAATGAGGCTCCATGAACATAGCTTGACTTTTTAATTAATTAATTAATTTGAATTAATTAATGTGGGTATTTATTTTTTTAATTGTTTGTGGGTTTTACTTTAATTGTGAGCCACCCAGAGTCACCCATTGGGGGAGATGGGCGGCATACAAATTTAATAAATAAATAAACTATCTAACTAACTAAGTGGACTTATTTCTGAGTAGACATCTATTAGTTTATGCCGCCAGTATCTCCACTAAAGAGATCTCTCAGAAGGGTGTAAATTATCTATGTTTGTCCTCAGTGAATATATGGAGCTCTCCTATAACAATAAAAGGAGCACATCCCAAGATGCATGTAGCAGTATTTCGCTGTCCCTGTAATACTGACTAGATCAACATAAGTGTGCAAAATGTACTCTTATGGCTTCATAAATACTTGGATCCAAAATTAAAAATGGAAATGTTCATGTTATGTTTTTATTAAACTACTTCACAGGATTGTTGTGATGAAATCATAGAGTCTATCTAAAGACAGTAAAAATGAATCTTCTTACTTTCAATGAATCCTATACAGACATAGGCATTCAATGCTAACCAAGATTATGCCAAAATAATGAAATGTGCTTTGTGACACATCATGATGGACGCTCTCCCTTTTCATCCTTGCATTGCAGTATCTAAAAGGAGGAGCTTCGATCACAATACACGTTCATTTCTTGCTCTTCCTTGGCCCCCCCTCCCTGCCACCCCAGATATTAATGCACAGAATCAACTGCAACCTAATAATCTTAATCAATTAAATCAATCACATTTAATCAATTCAGTAGGTTAATTTATAACTTTTCGCTAAATCTAGTGTTTTAGAAGTAAATACAACTGTATTTTATAAGTTGATACCCACAGAAATATAATGAAGTTGGAACTGTAAGTCAGAATAAATTCAGATATTACTTAACATAAATAAAATATGAAAAGAATTTCTCACCTACTTAAAAGTATAAATAAAAATTTAACTTACATTAAGGTCCTGTCCTTTCTACTGAATTCAAAGGAGGATGGAATCAGAGAAAGATGATTAAAGATGCAGTCAACTTGCTCAGGGAAATGGATTTTTAAAGTGCTTAACATTACTGGATTGTGCCATTTATATCATGCACTTAATCCTAAAATTTTTGACTTGATCTATGTTTTCAAACAAAAGTATGTAATATATCAGTGCCCAATATATTTTCATGTCTGATTTTTATCTGTAGAAATAATAAGTGGTTTTAAGTTACATGTTTATTATAGTAGTGTATATGAAATATTTTGTACCGTGCTTCCATACATGATTTTTTTTTCTTTGACCATGTAGAATAAGTTTGCTTGTTTTGCTGTTTTCTAAGCTTCTGTTACCTTTCATTAACTTACACAAAATGTTTTTAAGGATATTTCCTATGATTTTATCTTTTTAGCCTAAAGAGAAGAGTTACATATCAAAGAGCAATGAGCTCAAAATTCAAAGATCTTCTAGTTCTGAATTACTGGGTTTCCATGCTGACAGTAAGGAACCAAAAACAGAAAATAGAAAGTCTTTAAGTAAGTAAAATGATTCTGGGTAATCAAAAGTTATAAATAATCTTCTGTTAATAATATACAGTGTTCTTTCTTGGCTTTTAGACCCTCCAGTGTTCCCCCCCCCCCAAGTTCTTTAGTTGTGACAGCTCTTGAAGAAGGGAATGGGACCAAAAAGTTATGGAGGGTGGAGTGATTTAAAACCCATGGCTTGTATTCAGTGTGTGTTGGGTGCCAGTTATGATGGGTGCAGCATTAATGCATCATCAGGGAGCACGCATCAATTTGTGGATTCCTGTTGCATCAACACTGAATCCAGAATAAACATGGCACCAATCTTGTTTAGTCTAACAGTGATAACATTGTTATGCATATAAAATTAGCATTATGTTGGATGGCTATATTTCATCGCCCAGGTTCAGACGCAATATGTCATTAAATAGAGGGGGAATACTCTTGCCTTCACATCTTTCTCATGGGCTTCCTGGAGATATTTAGTTATCAATTGCAGAAAACAGGATGCTGGATTAGCTGGATACATGGCCTGATCCAGCAAGGCTTTTGTTATGTTCTTAAAGGTATAGAGCACTAAACATAAATGAATTCATGACAGAGAGATGCAACCTAGTTTGAAGCATTTGAAAATATTGCTGATTATTTACAGGATAATGATCTCTGTATCTTTACACATGTAAAACATTCCAGCTGATTTCTTTTATTGATTTATTTATTTCACAAACTTTGCATGCCATCTTAAACATAGACTCTGAGGAGTTCACAAGAAACAGTATAAAGCAAAGAATAAAAACATGAGTACCATAAAATCAACAAAAAAGCCCTAAAAATAAATGTAAGCTCAACATCATTTTAAACAACTACTGGGCAGCATGTAGCAGCATCCTGCCCAACCATCTAAGCTCAATAAAAATGATACTCTTCATTTTTTCTGGTGAAAAGGATACTCTTCAGCTCTTTCTGCATAAAGTCCTATCATGAGACCTGACAAGTAATATGAGTAGAGACAGAACAGAGAGACAAGAAAGAAAAAAGACAGACCAACAGAGGGAAGGATTCCGGTAGAGGAGAAACTAGAATGAATCACTGGGCCCTCATAGCTCAGGATCCCCTCAACTGTAGTAGCAACTCTGGACCAGTGATGCATTTAGATCAGCATTTTGTTCCTAGCAAGGTACCATTGTAAGACCTATGGTATAATCATGGCAGAATTGAAGACTTCTTCCTTCCTTAGTCACTTGGTCCCAGCTTTCAGATGCATACTATTTCTGCAACATGGAGTCAGCCATACCTATAATTAGTTAAGAAACTAAACAGACAGATTAGACAGCTGATAGAGGCTATATTTAATGCCCCAGCATTTTAAGATAGAAATAATATTGAATGTATTTATTGTTACAGCAATCGACATTTTATCTAACTTGTTCACATTAGGCTGTGAATCTGACTCCTTTTCAGCCTTGCAAAAGATCCTTTTATCTCTGCTTTGTTCAACCCTACTTAAACATGGCTCATGGAGAACAGCTCCAATCCATGGGCCCCTACCTCTTTGCCATTTTTTCTGGCAGAAAGCCATTAAACTGTCTCACCATTTGTTGTTGTCTTTTATGCTTCTTGGCATCATAATTCTAACATCTCTTCAGTAATGATTTAGAAGACAGATCAAGTTCCCACCAATGAGATAAAGTTAGCAGACAACCCAGCGCTTGAACCACAAAAAGTTGTAAGGAGCCCCTGCCGTGTTTAAACTTTCTTTTAAAAAGGAGAAACAATCTAATGTGAACTTGCATGGATTTCAGTTTTGTGTGTATGTTTATACAGCGTAGCTTGGGTTGCCTTAAAAACATGTATTTCAAATTTTCTTTTGGCCCCTTGAGAGTGAGTAATTATGTGGAATTAGAAAAATGTTAGCATTTGCTTACTTATTAGTAGTCAAAGCACAAACTGTGTTGTCAGTTTTTTGCCTTTGGCTTTCCATGCCCTTAATGTTCACACCAGTATGGTTGCCAGAATTATCAGCAGCCAGAGCCAAAATTGCTTTAAAAAAGGCCTGAGAAGTGGTAATGACACATTGTTAGCAGCTAACAGGTGGTCGTTCCATTGTCCAGTTTGACTGCAAAGCTCAAAGACAATCCATCCAGGATTTGCGAGAGGGCATTTTAAAGCAGTTTGAAAAAGTGGAATAGTCATGTTCTTGGCTATTCTTTGGAAACTAAAGAATTATATGTCTGCTTTTCAAACTAAAGAACAAGAGCATACTTAAGGTAAAATGAATGAGAAGACCGAAATACTAAAGTAGCTTCTGATTTAAGATTTGAAATGGCACTTGTATGTTTTGTATTCTTCCTTCTCCTGACATTATTTTAAATGCAGGGGCTCTGGTATATCAGTCTCCTAAGGTATTCAGCCTTTACTATAGCTGCCAAAGAATGTAACTTACTTCTGCATAATCTACAACTGAAAAATGTTCAGACTTACAAGAGCACTTACATGTCATCATCTGCTGTAGATACCTCATGTACCTTACATTGTAGAAAGTTAACAGTATGAACTACAAATGCAGGTAAAATTTGCTGGATCATGGCAACTGCTTAAAGAATCCTTTTTAGGACCTTATCACATATTCTTTGCAGTAGTGTGTTCCTAGAGAGCCAGTTTGGTGCAGTGGTTAAGGCACCAGGCTAGAAACCGGGAGACTGTAAGTTCTAGTCCTGCCTTGGGCACAAAGCCAGCTGAGTGACCTTGGGCCAGTCACTCTCTCCCAGCCCTAGGAAGCAGGTAATGGCAAACCACTTCCGAAAAACCTTGCCAAGAAAAATGCAGGGATTAGTCCAGGCAGTCACCAGGAGTCAACACTGACTTGAAGGCAGAAAAAGAAAAGAAAGTAAGTTTCTAACCATATTATTTGTAATTGAAGAATGGTTGGAAGCTAGCATGGAGAAATAATTGCAAATAAAAGAACTGGATACTTGACCATATTACTCTTTCCTGTTTTCTAAGGCTTGGACTTGTCCCAGTATTTTGCTAAGTCTTTTCATCCACAGGTAGGGGAAGGGGGGGCCAAGCAGCAATCAGGTTAATAAGATGAATGACTTAAATGTTTTTCTATCCACAACTATTATTCCACTCCCAAAGACTACTTTAGAAAGGCCACTTTTAAAAAAACGATAGCAAAAATAAATAAGATCCATGTATTAATGTGTTATTTATCCTTAATAATCTAACCTGTTTTTTTTTTTTTAGAAAAGTTAAATACATTTCTTAACTGTATGGATGGATCCCACAGCTTATTATTAATTGAAATCTATCCAGCTATAAATATATTTCCCACCCCTAAAACTGATAAACATATTTTATATCATTTACATATGCATATTTGTATATATGTATATCTTTTACCTGTATATACTTGCACAAGGCTATTGCGTGACTTGGGAATACTTAAACATTTATCATATAATGATTACAAGTGAAGGTCAGTCTAGCAAATGATTATTATTTTCTTAACACTTCAATCATTCTGATTTTCCTCTCAGTTTTCTTATGTCGTATTATTTCTTTACAGGTAAATCCAATTTACTAGTATTTAGGAATATTCAGTAGCCATTACACTTTCAACAAAATATATTGTGGTTCCTATTCAGAAGCATAGTAAATTAATTATTTATCAGACATTAGCTCTTTCTGCAGAACCTAATTAGACAGGAATCCTGGAGCACAGTCAGAGCTAAACTGGAAAGAATTTGGTTTCCAAAATGGACTATTAATTTACCACCTTAATGCCATAATTTTACTTAGAAGAAACAGTCTCTGGATGGGACACTGGAAACTGCATTTCTTAAGCTGTTCACTTTCTGCAACTGCTATAGCTCAGACTAGAAACCATTGAGTTTGTAGGTGGTTCTGGCTTAGGGAAAACTATCTTGGATATTGTAATATTTGCATAGGAATTTTAATATCCTCAGACCTTAAATCTCTCTGGTCTATCCAGCCTTAGCTCATTCTGGGTGGAAGGAGTGTAAGAAAGCTTTTATTCAAATTAAATCTGACTTAACAATAAGTTGTTCCTGCTCTCTGACTTGTTCCTATATCCCTTGTTTGGATTCTGATTCTGATTGCTCCTCAATCCTGCCTATATTAACACAAATCTAGAACCAGCCTGGATTTTGCTCAGATGCCCTCTGTTGTCTGGCATGATCCATATATATATTGGTTACACTTCTATCCTCCCTCATCCTCTTTTCCTTCCTAAACCTCCATGGTAATAAGTGAAGTTTCTAGGCTCCATTCCTTGAGTATCCGTGTGTTGGGCTCAAGATGCATTTCATGCATGTATTTTATAAAACCCAGCAATATCAAGGACTATAGGAGGTATGTTTCTTAGAAGATCTGAGTGCTGCTGTGAATGTTTGCAGTCCCTAGGACTTGAAACATGAGGTTTCTACAATAATAGAAGTGCAACTGGAATCCACCCAATTTAAAGTTGGATTTATTTCAAACATCCACTGGATTATTTCCAAATTCTTTTGATTTTATTGGGACCAGTTTTGAACTGTAATAGGGGATTCTCCCATCATTTCTTTCAAAAATAACCCTCACTTACTTCAGTAGAATCTAATTTTAAGTTTTCAGTTGGAACTATAAGGTTATAGAAATCTGCTTTACACTGAGTCAGACACCTAATACAATTATGTTGATGCTGGCTGGCTGTAACTCTTCATAGTTTCAAAAAGATGTTATTCCTGATCTACCTGGATTGCTGAAGAATGAACATGGGCATTCTGCTTGGGAAACTAGAGTTTCAGTAGCATTTCTGTGCACTGGGTGGATATATAATGTGACAGACTTTTTTGTTTGGATCCTTCTTTCTTACTGCCATTGTTATGATAAAAGAACTACTATAAATTCTGTGCTGAAGGCAAGCTATGAATAACCACCCTCTTCACTCCAGTGCCTGAATGTTTCTCCCCACCCCGCAATGGAAACAAAGGGCTTTCCAGGAAGAAGAG